CCAGGGCCCGGAGAACCTTTACTCTCCTCTGAGTTGTGAACAGTTCTCTGTTGTGGGAAGCAAAATCGTAGAAGTTAAGCATGTTCTTACATATTTTATGTTGTCCCCAAATATATAGGACAGCAAGTCCTTACATTATCTCCTTAATATTTTGAGCTTTACCCTTTGTAGAAAGCTGGGGTAGATGGGGTCCTGAGTACCTGCTGGGGGAGGGAGTGGATGGTTGGGTAATAGCCCTGGAGAGGCTATTAGAACTGACTGACTCATCCCAGGGAAAGGGAATGTATTTTGTCTCCAGACTTGGCTCCCTTCTTCCCCTTTAACTCTGGAGTTTTTTTTTTTTATGTTTTTCGAAGTTTATCTCTTTATTAATTTGTCATGCAGCAGTATTTGATCGGGATTATATGTAAATCCCCCAGCTGACAAATCACAAAATGATACATTATGCTATTATGTATTGCTCTTTTATTTATTGATTTAGCGTAAAAGTGAAGTGGTCATGAATAAATATTTTTAAGGCTATCTACATTGCATGCATTATGTTTTAGTTTTTACCACTATAAGGATTTTACAGAAAATGTTAGGTGGCTTTTTATTTAACTCAGTATCTCATGTTGCAAAACGTAAATAACAAATCTTTTCCTGAACTCAGCTTCCTTTCCAGCATCCCCAGTTAAACGCCAAATAGATTCCAACAAAGGCAAAGAATAATAGAATGGAAAGAAATTATCCTGAACGTTTTGTTAGCAGTACTTACTATGACTGTCATACAGATAAGTCATATTTATAATACATATTTGTTTTGGTTTTTGTAGGTAGATAATTGTATTTCTACACATTTCATGACTGTTTACACATTTTGCACTTTAAACTAAACCCCAAGCCAGATAAGCACACATATACTTTTTGGCCAGTAGTTTAAGCGCATGAAAACACCAAGAGATATCTTTTATGTTGTATGTGTTATACTAGCAGTGGCCAACCATTTGGATGGAGGACTATTCCGTTTAAATTGCCCTATTAGGCACTATGAATTAACCTGCAAAACAAAAATTTTACTATTCCACACATTCACTTACAGACAGGTGGTCATGCCAATACTGTCACTTACATACATGCAGACAAGAGAGTGGCAATGAGCACACTCTCCCATAATTGCATTCACACTCCCCATTCACATACATACATACATACACACTCTTTAAATCCTAAATCCAAACAATGGGTTTTTAGAATTCTCCAACCATCTAATCTATGGTGTGACACCGAATACTCAGTGGGTTTTTTGTTTTGTCTTTGGAAGGAGGGGGGTTAACTCAGATTTATCCACATCCTTTTAATGTACTATTTCCCATGTTTGGATTCTCGTCTTCCAGAATTCCAAACTATCCCAAGTATTTTTAAGATCCCTTTAAATAAATCACTACATTTAAATATTTGCATTCCTGATATATTGTTATATGCAGGGTATTTGACCATTTTTATTTACATGTTATCTGACCACTGTTTATTTTGTCAAAACAACTGTATGTACCATTTCTGCATGTATATTTTTTTATATATATTTTTCTTCAATATCAAATGACAAGCAACATCAATACATACAAAAAAAACAATAACTTTTTTTTTTACAAAATTAAAATAGACTAAACATAGCATAAACAATTGTACAGAAAAAGAGCATACAGAAATACATCTGTTCATCAATTTACATCCATCTAGTTACCATAATACTAATGAACCTGTATTACCCTCCTGCACAAATGAAACCTCCATCCATTTTTGTCAATGAGAGTCCCCAGTCTATCCTTTACCCTTTCTCAATTTTCTTTCCATCTCTGGTCTTATTTAGATATGATACGTAATTCTTTTTCCCAATTTCCCCATAAGCTGGAAGTCTTGTTCGGACATTTAGAGTAATTCTTTTCCATTTTTATTTGATATAGTAATTGTGAACATATTTGGTTAATAGTAAAAACATATTCTCCTTTCCAGTTTCTTGCTATCACTATCTTTGCAGTCAACAAGCAATGAGTTATCAAAAATTGTTCTGTCTTCCTTAAATTAGGCCAATAGATATGTAATCACATTATTTACGGAGTTATTGATAGTTTAACGTTGCATAATTTATTTACAATATTTTGAACCCACTGCCATACAACTGACACTTTTTAACATGTCCACCAAATATGTACATAGCTACCCTTTTCATTGCAATTCCAACATTCCTCACTCGTTCGTGGAGAAAATTTCGATAGTCTTGTTGGAGTCATATACCATAAAATTATCGATTTAAAATGGGTTTCTATCAACGCAAGTGAATGAACATATTTATTAATTTTATAGGAAGAAGATATCTATTTCTATCCTTAAATCTTTGTTCCACTTTCTTTTTTTTTTGTAAATATGTTTTTATTTATTCGTGATATAATGAAGCATTGTTATGGATACGCAGATCCTTACGATTAACACAGTAAGTATGAAGCAACAGGATAGAGAGCAATTAGTACAGTTGAAAACATATATAAACCATGAAAGTGTAAAGTTTAGGGTTGTCATCTCGAAAGCCTATTAAGGGGTAGAACCCGCTGGTCCTGTTCCGTTACCATGAACATGTATAGATATGTAGTTTCCCTCCTTGCTAGTGGCCGTAAAAGGGTGTCCTTGCATGGCTTTGAGTCCACCCCAGTAACACTAAGTCCCATAATCTATGGGAGTTCGCCTTTGGGTAGTTGGGAGGTGTCGTGGTGCTACAAACCTACTCCTTGAGTCAGAGGTTCCTGCATCCCTGTGTGTTAGGGAAAATATTACTAGGTCTATGTATAATTAGGTGGGTTTCATTTCTGAAACAGCGGTGGTGTTGCATGAAGGCGTGAGTAGATGAGACTCCCGCTTTCCAGTATGGGGTCAACTCTGCGGAGTACGAGCTTATCCCTTGCCATGCCTATCGACCGAAGGTCGATGGCCTCTGTCAGTGACTCTATTTCGTGGGAATCAGCAGTTTGTACCTCTTTATGACTATTTGAGCGGGCTCATTATCGGGGTTACTTATAACGGAGCTCGAACGTTGCCTTGGTCTCAGGTCGCCGCCCCCGTAGCGTGTTGTCCTATATCATCAGGCACTATGTGTGAGATCGTTGCGAGCTATCTAAGGTGTTTGTCTTTCGCGGTGTGTGAGTTTGTTAGGGGATACTTTGTCTACGGTTGTGTGTTTGTGTGTGTTTCGTGGTGTCGAGGTGTCCGGCTGCCGGGTCCCGGGGTGTCCGAGGTCTGTGGCAACTGGCGGGCAGTCCTGTCTTGACAGCTCCCCTTCTCTGTCCGTAGTGTGTCGTGCATGTCCTCCCCTGTTCATTTTATATCGAGTGTTCATCCTGGGAATAGCCCGACTGAGTCCGGTATCCAGCTCCCCAGATCCCGGGGTCCCAGCAAGAGGGGGTAAGGGAGAAAGTAAAGGCAGGAGAAAATGAGCAGTAAAGGGGTAGGGGTTATGATCTAAGTTAAGTGGTATCCATGTCCCCTGCTGTCACCGTCCCGGCGACAGGTGCGTCCCCATCTCGCCGATAGCGGGTGATGTATAAGAACCACGGCGTCCACATCTCGGCGTGTCTAGTTCCTCGTCCCGACAGAGTTGCATGTGTTTCCTCCGCTCCCTGGATATCTTCTACTCTTCGAATCAATTCCTTTTTGGTGGGTGTTTCATTTGTTTTCCAGAGAGCTGGTATGTTGGCCTTAGCCGCATTAAGCAGGTGTCGTAGTATAGATTTCTTATAAGACGGTATGGGTTGTGTAGAGATGTGTAGTAGTGCCAATTCCGCGTTCCACTCCGGTATGTCTCCCATGATGTGTGTCACTGTGTCCCTGATCATTTCCCAGTACGGGATGATGCCCCTGCACTCCCACCATATGTGTAGCACTGTGCCGCGTTCTGCCTGGCATCTCCAGCACACTGGGGGGATTGATGGGAAAATACGGTGCAAAAGGGACGGTGTCCTATACCAGAGGGAGAGCAATTTGTAATTCATTTCCTGATAAGAGGAGCACATGGAACTCATATGGTGCCATATCATCGCCTTGTCCCATTGCTGGGTTGTAAGTTGTCTTCCAAGTTGGTTCTCCCATTGACGTTTGAATGTGGTGGCTGTAGGTGTGCCACCGATCAGCAAATGTTGGTAAAGAGCCAAAATAGCGTGTTCAATAGGCGTGCCTTGCTCGCAGAGGGTTTCAAACCATGTGAGGTCTCTATGTAAGAGGTCCTTGTGTAATAGAAATGTTTCAGTTGCAGGTATCTAAGTAGTGAGAGAGGAGTTCGTGGTCCCTCTCCTAGTAATGAGGTTAAATCTCGCAGTTTCCCGTCCGCCAGGGCCTTATATATGGGAATATATGTTCCGGTGCTTGGGATGGGCCACGCACCCCCTATGGCCTCGTTATGCGTGATCGGCGTCATCGGGCTGGGCGTGGGTGATATATGCATCTGTAGCCTGAGTACCTTCCAAGTGTGTAGGGTCTGTAGGACCAGTCCCTCATCGTCGCTATGGTTTGTTCGACCTCCAGTTTTACCCCAGACCTGTGCCTCAAGTGTTGGTCCAATGAGGTCCCTGTCGAGTTTCACCCATTGTTTGGCCGTCGGTTCCAGGTGCCAGTCTAGTATACGTTGCATGACCGTGGCTTGGTGATATTTCTGAAAGTCCGGCAGCGCCAGCCCTCCGTAATTTTTTGGACGACACAGTATGTCATGCCGGATCCTTGCTCGTTCCCCGCGCCACACATATCTAGTTACTGCCGTTTTAAGGGAGGAGAAAAAGGTCGCTGGTATAGCGAGTGGTATGGTCTGCATGAGATACAGAACCCGTGGGAGGATATTCATCTTAATAACAGCGATTCTTCCGTGCCAGGTCACATGTGGGTACGACCATTTGGATAGGTCTGCGAGAACAGACTTCAATAGGGGTGAAAAATTGTGTCGCAATATATCCCTTGGGTTCGTGGTCACCCATACGCCTAGGTATTTCATCCTGCCGTGGCACCAGTGGAACGCGAATTGTGATTCCAATGATAGGAATTCTTCTGTGGGAAGTGTGATGTTCAGGACCTCGCATTTTGAGATGTTAAGTTTAAATCCAGATATCCGTCCAAATTTATCAAATTCCGAGAGGAGGCATGGCAATGTGGTCCTGGGGTTGCGGACGAAGAAGAGGAGGTCATCTGCGTAAGCAGCCACTTTATGTTGTTCACCTTGGGCTTCGTATCCCTGTATGTCTGGGTTCAGCCGAATTGCCTGCAACAATGGCTCTAGGGTCAATGCGAAAAGCAACGGCGAGAGGGGGCAGCCCTGTCGGGTGCCATTGCTAATTGCAAAATCAGCAGTCGTGGCTCTGTTGACCCTTACCGTTGCGCATGGGCTATTATACAGGGCGGATATCCATTTGAGGAGTCTTTGACCACATTCCAGGTGTTTCAACGTTGACATCATATATGCCCAGTTGACCCGGTCAAATGCCTTTTCCGCGTCAGTGGATAGCAATAGTAACCGGGTACCTGATTTCCTCGCATGGTGTTGGATGGAGAAGAGTCGCAGGGTGCTGTCCCTGGCCTCTCGACCTGGGATGAATCCCGTCTGATCCACGTGAATCAAGTCGGGGAGAAGGTGATTAAGTCTGGTTGCTAGGACTTTCGTAAATAATTTAGCATCGACGTTCAGTAGCGAGATCGGCCTGTAGCTCCCGCACTGCAATGGATCTTTCCCCGGCTTAAGTAGGACCGTGATCGTAGCTGCTAGTGATTCTGGTCCCAGAGTTCCGTCCTCCCCCACGGCGTTGAGGGCCTTGGCCAGCCATGGCAGCAAGGTTCCTGAGAAGTTTTTATAGTATCCGGCGGAGAAGCCATCTGGGCCGGGTTGTTCCACTTTCTTATGGCTGAAGTTGTTTCTGTGATATTATTCTCTTCTGTCAGTTTAACACATCTAGAGCTGTTTTACTCTGTTCTCCTGTAATATTGTTTTCATTATTTTATAAAGATTACCTTCTGATACCAATATAACTCTGTCCATAAAATGTTTAACCCTAGTATAAGTAAAAATGTCCTTGTCTGACAGGTGAAACTCCCTACCAACATATTGAAAGATTTTATTTTATTATCTCGAACTAAATCTTTAATTATAGTTATATGCTTGGCTTTCCATGTATAAAGAGATGTTCTTCATTATTATTTCTAATGAGTTCAAACTTTGAAAGTCAAAGATTTTATTTTTCAGATCAATTTTCTTATTCATTTTATGACATATAGATATAATTTGATTCAGAATATAGGAGTTGGATTAAAAAAATTTTTTTTATATTCCATATTAAATTGGCTGGATCCTTTAATTGACTGGCTTCCATTTCTATATTAACACCTTAAGGACACAACTTCTGGAATAACAGGGAATCATGACGGAATATTTCCTTCATGTGTCCTTAAGGGGTTAAACCATGCTTCTGTTTTATTTTGCTCTAACTCTGTCATTACATGCATAATTATACCAGCCTCATAATATTTTGTTATATTTGGGTATCCTAGTCCCCCATTTTACTTCCTCTAGATATCGATGAGGTTTTAATTTCTGCATGTATATTATATTCCTGCGTAAAAGGAAGATATTGTGTCATTTAGAATAGCGCCCAATTTTTCTGTAAATTATGGATTCGATTGAAAAATTTAAAATTGATTGTTTATTTTAATTTGTTCAGATACAAATAAATATATGTGAAATTGCTGTTTTGTGCTAAGTTTATATGTTGGTTAAAGGAACAGTATAGTCACCTAAATTACTTTAGCTAAATAAAGCAGTTTTAGAGTATAGATCAATCCCCTGCAAGTTCACTGCCCAATTCACTGTCATTTAGGAGTTAAATCACTTTGTTTCTGTTTATGCAGCCCTAGCCACGCCTCCCCTGGCTAGGATTGACTGAGCCTGCATGAAAAAAAAAACTGGTTTCACTTTCAAACAGATGTAATTTACCTTAAATAATTGTATCTCAATCTCTAAATTGAACTTTAATCACATACAGGAGGCTCTTGCAGGGTCTAGCAAGCTATTAACATAGCAGGGGATAAGAAAATCTTAATTAAACAGAACTTGCAATAAAGAAAGCCTAAATAGGGCTCTCTTTACAGGAAGTGTTTATGGAAGGCTGTGCAAGTCACATGCAGGGAGGTGTGACTAGGGTTCATAAACAAAGGGATTTAACTCCTAAATGGCAGAGGATTGAGCAGTGAGGCTGCAGGGGCATGTTCTATACACCAAAACTGCTTCATTAAGCTAAAGTTGTTCAAGTGACTATAGTGTCCCTTTAAATATCAAAAGTTTTAATTTTTATTAAACCACTTGGTTGAGAAGCGGTTGATTGCAGTTACGAATCTGTGGTAAATATATTGTACTCTATATCTTCTAAGGCAAATAAACTACTAAACCACATTGTAGTAAATATTTTGTAGTAGTGCATATTATGTCCCTTGAAAAAAAAAATCTACAATGTATTGTGCATCTATAAAAATGTTCTGTATGTGGGGAGCTTACACTCTGCATTGTAAAGTTTATTAATTACAAGAGTAAACTTTATGTCACCCATCTTACTATTTTACTATGTAAATATTCATGGCGTATTTGTTCGCCAGCTGTTGACATATTCTATATAATTATAATTCCCATCCCCCATTTCCTGCATTCTTCAATACACACATAGAGCCCTGTAACATGTTCCAGTAAAACAGAAAAAATAGCATATCTACATCTCTGGTCTGTAAGCAAGCAACATATATATATATATATATATATAAAATAGATAAGTTTTTTGAGATATCTGTCATTTACGGAATCATGCTTAATCAGTTCGCTAAAATGCTTTTGGGAAAACCAGTCACAGTAGCCATTTGGATTGTATTTATCTTTATCAACATGAAACAGTGATTCACTATTCCAGTTATTGATGACAACAAATGACCCTGTTTAAAGGTATTCTTGTCTGAGTACTAAAGTTGTAAATCATCCCACCTCTGTTAAGCAGGGTTCTGTTTGAATGACCGTTATGAAAAGCCTGTAAAGACTACAGTTCAGTTATAGATCAACAAATTTGGGTAGACTTATGTCATGGGTGTTGACTCTGAATCTCCTGAGATCTTAAGGATATAGACTTAAAGGAACACTCTGCACACCATAACAACTTCATCAAAATAAGGTTGTTATGGTGCCAGGAGGTACCTGAGGGGGTTAAACAGTTCTCAAACAATTTAACCCAAAAGGTTGTCTCTTTTCCCCAGTGACATCTGGCTTCTGCAACTGACTGGCCAATCAGTAGCTCCAAACTAAAAAAAAAAAAAATACATACCTTTTTTAATGAATGGGGAGCTAATGATTGGCTTAGAGCCAGCTCCCCTAGCTGGATGCCGCTGAGGAAAAGAGAGATCTGGCCCTGGGGGCAAATGTTGGGGTTAAACCATTAAAAAAATGGTTTAATCCCTTCAAGTAAGAAAGCTCCAGGGACCCCTGGCCCCGTAACAACTTGATTGAAATGAAGTTGTTATGGTGCTTGATGTGTTTCTTAAAGAGTAATGGAACAATTGTATTGGATTGGATTGAGAATTTTTATTTTACAATGCATCTTAAAAAATAGCAACACTGTTTAATTTTGAACAACATAAATCAACATTTGATTAAAATGAGCCATGACTATAATGTAATAATTTCTATTTTTATGGCACTATAGTGAATCTAGCTTTGCCTGAAAAACTATAGATTGTTCTTGAATAAATGAACGTGATATGAAAATTCAACATATAGAAAAATAGACACAGAAAAAGATGTAATTTTAATGACATAAAAACATTGCTGGAAAAGCAATAAAAGAAGTGCTGGAGATGAAAAATGTTAAAAATAGTCTTAAGGGTTACTCCAACCCTTTCGGAGGGGAGACACCTTTCCTGTGTAAAATACCCTATTGGGCACTACTAAGAAGGTTCCCCCCCCCCCCCCTCCATTGCAGGACAATTTGCAAATAAAAGCATTTTATTTACCTGGAATCCAGCGCAAGGAGGAGTTCCGTGCGCTGATGGCTTGCACCCCCTCTGGGGTTTCATGCTGTCCAATCACAGGCTTTTCATAGAGCCTGCAAAGGGGGGGGGGAGGAGTAGAGAGGAAGGGTTTAAAAATACGTCACTGTTTAATAGACATTTCCCTTCGTGAAAACATACATGCATTTAATTATGCATTGTTTTATTAAGGTATATCTAAAACTAGTTTGCAAATGTTGCAGATCTCTTGCATAAATCTGAGCAATATGTCTGTTCATCCAAATATATCTAAATCTAAAAAGAAAACCTAAAAAGAAAATGTGTGAGAAATGAAGAAATTTTATTTTCCGAGTTTTGCTTGTCAATTTAACAGTGAATATTATAATACTGTTAGCTTTTACTGCAATAAAATACATATGTGTATGCTGTGATGTCCCACAAGTACAACAATGTTCCCCATGTACAGTTTTTATGGGGTTTTGGAAATTCCAGGATCAAATAAAGAGCTTGCCCATTTCAGTTTTTACACTTTTAAATTTGCCAGATTTGCCTTACCATGGCATACCATTTGCAAAAGTAGACAGCCCAGGGTATTCAAAATGGAGTATGTCCAGTCTTTTTAGTAGCCCCTTAGTCACAAACCCTGGACAAAGTTAGTGTTTTTTTTGCATTTTTCACACAAAAACTGCACCTTCACTGATAATACCATTATTTTTATATAACATATTATATACACATATTATAATTATATATATAAATATGAAAATACACTTAGAACAAGTTTGAAAAGAAAGCGCAAACGTGATTTACATATACTTAATATTCTTACACATAAATGCTAGATAATAAATAATTTATTGAGTCTGGTTGGATCATAAAATAAATATACACAATGTTAAAGGTAATTAGTACAACATATAAAAAGCAAATAAATTGCTGGTACCATTAAACCGAAAATCCGAGTGTGCACGCTCTTATTACTAAACAGTGTATTAAAAAGAGCATAGAAAAAATATAGGAAATATAAAAATGGTATAAAAATATACGGTAATGGTGTAATAAATAAATAGAAGGGGTAATTCCACACACTCACCAGCGACTAATATTGAGTGGAAGCTCACAAACTGTAAAAGTGTGGACACTTACCCAATCATAAAAATAAAAAATTATAACCATAAATAGATAAACCACTGTTTATTCATCAGAAACAGTTAAAAAATAATAAAT